ATTGGTTTCGAAGTTTCTATTTTTATCGCGATCAAAACACTACGAGGAATTAGATTTTCTTGTTTGAAACATCGGTTTCACAGAAACTTGGTGTTTTGTTTGAGGTATTCATTGTAGTCGATGTGGAAATTTTGCGGTTTGTTTGTTTTCGAATAACTTAATAAAAAATTAGTAGAAACTTGTTTCTACAGAAATTTTCATCGCCCTTGAAGTAAAGCCCAAAGAATCCCGTTTCTTTGAAAAATTATAAAATTTGTTTTTGCGATTTTTGTTTTTACCTATATGAAGTCAAATTTCAACTTCGAAAAATAGAAAATTTGAGTATCGAAAAGAAAAAAACAAAAAGAAAAATAATCGAGAAGTAGTAAAACTGAAGAATGGAAGATTTGAAAAATTATAGAACTGAAAAACTTAAAAATCAAAAAATCGAAAAACAAATTGAAAATTCGACTATTGCTAAAAACGAAAAACCGGAAAACTGAAAATTCGAAATTCTCAAAATCGATAATGAAAAATTTTATCAATTCTCAATGTTTGGATTTTTCGATTTTTCAGTTTTTCGATTTCTCAATTTTTCCACTCCTTGATTTCTAGATTTTTCAATTTTTGGTTTGTTCGAATTCTTAATTTTTCGACATTTTGATTTCAAGATTTTCCGTTTTCTCAATTTTCCAATTTTTCAAATTTTCGATTCTTTTTTTTTCGTTTTTTCGACTTTTCGATTTCTTCATTTTTCGACTACTGGATTTATAGAATTTTCAACAAGAAACTAAACTTAAAATGATAAATTTTTGTAGGGAAATATGGATTTTGAAATTACGCTCCGCCCCTCGGTCTGATAACGAATGAAAAATTCATAACACCTGAGATTGGGGCGGGTGGGCGGGTCTTATTTTTTTACATTCTTTTCTTAACGGTTATAGTTTTCTTTCAAAAACACGATACTTGAAAACATTTGTTGTAGAGAAAGAAGGATTTTGTAATTAAGCTCCGCCCCCTGAGTCACGACGAATAAAAAAAGCACCACACTTGAGTTAGGACGGGTGGGCGGGACTTATATTTTAGGGTTTTTATGTCAAAAACCCACAATTCGAAAATCGAAATTTCGAAAAACTGAAACATCCATGAATCGAAATATAGAAAAAAATATCAAAAGTCGAAAAATTGAAGATTCTAAAATCGAATAATTAATAATTGAAATCGAAATTAAAAAAATTCGAATATTAAAAAAATCGAAAATGGAATCGAAAAATGGAAATATGGAAAAATCGAAATTTCGAAAACTGAAATTTTGAAAAATTGACGAAAAGTCAAAAAACCAAAAAACCGATGAATCAAAAACTGTAACATTAAAAAAAACGAAAAATTGAAAAATCGAAAAATTGAAAAATCGAAAAATTGAAAAATCGAAAAATTGAAAAATCAAAAATATCAGAACTGAAGATATCGGAAAATTTAGAATAAAAAAAAAGTTCTAAAATTGAAAAATCGAAATTAAAAAAATTTAAATATCGAAAAATCGAAATGGGAAAAATGGAAAAATCAAAAATTCGACGTTTCGATTTTTCGATGTTCGAATTTTTTTATTTTCAATTTTTCGATTTTTTGAAGTTTTCGATTTTTTGAATTTTAAATTTTTCGATTTCTGCAGTTCTCGTATTTTTGATTTTGAAATTGAATAACCGAAGAATCGAAAAATCGAGAAGTCGGGAAATCGGAAAACCGAAAAATCTAACATTAAAATATCGAAATAATTTTGAAAATCTAGAAATTGAAATTTTTCAATTTCCACCAAAATTGTAGTTTTGAAAAGTTGAAAAATGGAAAACTTGAAAAATGGAACAATGGAAAAATGTTAAGCATTGAAAATCCGACAAATAGAGATATGAAAAAATCGAAAAATTCGAATATTAAGACATTAAAAAATGGTAAAACTGAAAAACCAAAAAAACGAGATATTGAGGAATCCAAAAATCTAAAATTTAGAAAATCGAAACATCCAGCAAATGGAAAATTGAAATATCGAGAAACTGAAAAACTGGGAAAAATTAGAATTCGAAAAATTGAAAAATTTAAATTTAAAAAAACTTGAAACATCGAAACATCGAAATCTCGATAAATCGAGAAATGGAAAAATTGGTCAACACTAAAAATTCGAAAAATTTTTAAAATGGAAAATCCAAAACTTCTATAAAATTTAAAAAACGAAAAATTGAAAAAATGAAAAACTGAAAAATCAAAAATTAAAAAAATCAAAAAACTGAAAATTCCCGAAACTCAAATAGCGAAAAATTGATCAATCGATAAATGGAAAATTTCAAAAATCGCGAAATCCGGAAATCCAAAAAAATCTAAAAAGAATGAGAAAAAAATTGAGGAACCAAAAAATCGAAAAATCAAGAAATCGCAAACTGAAATGTAGGTACAGAAATTGGGAAAACGAAAAATCGAAAAACTGGAAATTCGAAAAATTTTTAAAATGAAAACATTAATAATTATAAAATTTAAAAAACAAAAAATTGAAAAATCAAAAAATGAGAACTCAAAAAATCTAAAATTTAAGAAATAAAAAATTAAAAATATCAAAAAATTGGAAATTCCCGAAAATTAAATTTCGAAAAATTGATCAATCGATAAATGGAAAATTCAAAAAAACGGGAAATCCAGAAATCCAAAAATGTAAAATTTGAAAAATCGAAAAAATGAAAAATCGAATAATTGAAGAATCGAAAAAGTAAAAAATCGAAACATCAAGAAATTGAAAAATCGAAAAACAAAGAAATCGAAAAACTAAAATATCCAGCAGTTGGAAAATTGAAACATCGAGAAATCGAAAAATCGAGAAGTCGAAAAACTGAAAAACTGAGAAATCGAAAAATTAAAATTTGAAAAATCGAAAAATCGAAAAATTTAAATTAAAAAAAAAATTAAAAATGATAAATTGAGAAATAGAAAAATTGAAAAATCTTTAAAATGAAAAATCGAAAAATATAAAATTTACAGAAGGAAGAATTGAAAACAAAAAACTGAAAAATAAAAAAATAAGAGCTCGAAAATTGTAAAATTTAAGAAATCAAAAATTAAAAATATCCAATTTGAAAATTCCCGAAACTTAAACATCGAACAATTAATTGATCAAATGATTTGAAAAAACGGTAAATCCAGAAATCCAAAAATCTGGTATTTAAAAAATCGAAAAATTGGAAAATCGAGAAATCGAAAAACCGTAGAATCAAAAAATCGAGAAATCGAAATGTCGAGAAGTCGAAAAATTGAGAAATCGAAAAATTTAAATTTAAAAAATTGAAAAATTTAAATTAAAAAAAAATCGGAACATCGAAATCTCGATAAATCGAGAAATGGAAAAGTTGATAATACTGAAAATTCGAAAAAATTTAAAAATGAAAATTCGAAAAATATAAAATAAAACGAAAAATTGAAAAAATTCAAAATTCAAAATTCAAAAATCGAAAAATTTAAAATTTAAGAAATCAAAAAATTTCGAGAAAATTAAAAATTCCCGGAAGTCAAATATCGAAAAATTGGGCAATTGATTAAAATGGAAAATTTGATGTAACGAGAAATCGCAAACTGAAATGTTGATAAATTGGGAAAACGAAAAAGTGAAAAATCCAAACTCCAAAACATTGGAAAATCGAAAAATCGAAAATCTGAGATATCGAAAAATCGAAATAACAACCAAATGGGAAAAAACATCGGGATATCGAAGCATTAAAAGATCGAGAAAACGAAAAGTCGAGAAGTCCAAAAATTCGAAAAATTTAAAAATGGAAAATTGACAAAATGAAAAACTGAAAAATCAACGACGGGAACTCAAAAAATCTAAATTTTAAGTAATCAAAAATTAAAAATATCAAATTTCCGAAACTCAAATATTGAAAAATTAATCAATCAAAACATTGAAGAATTGAAAATTTGAAAATCGAAAAATCGGGAAATCGAAATGTCGAGAAGTCGAAAAATTGAGAAATCGAAAAATTAAGATTTAAAAAATTGAAAAATTTAAATTAAAAAAAAATCGAAACATCGAAATCTCGATAAATCGAGAAATGGAAAAGTTGATAATACTGAAAATTCGAAAAAATTTAAAAATGAAAATTCTAAAAATATAAAAAAACAAAACGAAAAATTAAAAAAATTAAAAAATAAGAACTCGAAAAATTTAAAATTTAAGAAATCAAAAATAAAAAATTCCAGAAAATTGAAAATTCCCAAAAGTCAAATATCGAAAAATCGGGCAATTGATTAAAGTGGAAAATTTGAAATAACGAGAAATCGCAAACCGAAATGTTGATAAATTGGGAAATCGCAAAAGTGAAAAATCAAAACCCCAAAACATTGGAAAATCGAAAAATCAAAAATTTGATATATCGAAAAATCGAAATAACGACCAAATGGGAAAAAACATCGAGATATCGAAGGATTAAAAAATCGAGAAATCGAAAAGTCGAGAAGTCGAAAAATTAGAAAAATTTTAAAAATGGAAAATTGACAAAATGAAAAATTGAAAAATCAAAAATCTGAAAATATCGAAGTATCTAAAAGTCAAAAGTCGAGAAATCGAAAAGTATTTAGAAAAGCCAAAAATGGAAATATTGAAAAATCGAAAGATTTAAAAATCGAAAAATTGAAGAATCGAATATTTGAAAAATCGGGAAACTGAAATACAGAAAAATTGGGAAATCGAAACTTCGAAAAGCCGAAAAATTGAAAATTTGAAAAATTTTGGGGATGATTAGCCCAATTTTGGTTATCGATAAACCTAAACCATATGTAAAATTTGACAATCCGGACCTATTTTTGGTACTCTAGGGATCATGAAACCTCGCGAAAACATAAAAGTAGCTAGTCGCCCGATCAACTCGATCACAATACTCTCTTAACGCTCAAGAATTAAAAAAAACTTGCATTCAAAACGACTGATTTTTAAAAATGTGCTTAGGCAACCAATATTACATTTTTATTTGAATTAATTCCAGAACTATCCGAAGAACTCGCCCTCCAAAACGCCAAAGAAACCGAGCCAGAACCCACCGAAATCGAGACCGAAAACGACGTCATCACCTTCAAACTAAAATATTTAGGCAAGTATGCAACCAGTTAAACATCAGTGGCTCTAACGCGACCATTACAGGCAGCACCGTAGTGGAGAAAATCTCCAGCGACAACATAAACACCGAAGCCGTTAAAAACATAATAAAAGTAACCAAAGCCGGCCGGAAGAAACTCCAGAGGGTCAATATCGCGATCTCCCTCAAAGGAATCGCCGTTACGGACCTGGAAGGAAACGACGTACTAAAAATATCCATATACAGGTCCGTCTCTAGCCACATACGTATTGTCCGACAATCTATTTGTTGAAATTTCAGAATCTCCAACTGCTCCACCGACCCCACCCACCGCCAAGTCTTCTCTTTCATCTCCACCGACCCCACCGAAACCATGGAATGCCACGCTTTCATCTGCTCGAAAAGAAAAATGGCGGAAACTGTGACCTTGGCGGTGGCCCATGCCTTCGGGACCGCGTACGAGGCGTGGCGGATTTTGCCCTCGACCAAAGAGTTCGAAAAAACGGTGACGAAAGAGAACGAAAAGAACAACTTGAATGAGGAAGAGAAAACCGAAAAGGACATAGTCGAGGAGAAACTGATTGATTTTGACGACGAGCCGCTGACGGAAAATCAATCGGTGGCTTTTGGCAAACCGCCATGTCAGGAAAATCTGAACAACCATTGGGTAAATATGGCGCTTTTGGTAGTTGGGTGATTATTAATGGGTGATTTTGTAGGTGTGTTTCGACGACGATTTTGTGAGCGAAGCTCGAAACGCCTTCAAAAATGATTTAATTATGGCTTAGGAGAGTCTTGTACATAGCGCGCTGTATCTATATTATATAACCGATAACGTAAGATCTAGATTAGTTCGTTAGTTAGTTTATGTTAATTGTAAATTATTCCTATTCGTAAGCCAAAAATTGTGTTTCACAGTCACCTTCGAGCTCAAATTCCTTGAATCCTTGACACTCCAAACGAGCATATTTTACTAGTTGTTTTTATAAGTTACATAAATCTCGAAAAATCGGATCTAGTTTTCTTTCCAATCCCCCCCACGAGCTTGTTTGTTCGACGCAAACACGCGTCGCCTATGCAGCTACTTAATGAATGAAATACGTCGAAAAGGGGTTTCCCCTCCACAATCGAGCATCGCGACGTCCTTAAGGAGCGACGCAGGCGCGTCGCGACGCTGTCCTGGAGAGAGCGCCGGATGAATGCGGATCTGGCGAGGAGAGAGACGGAGAGGAGGAAGATGGCTGGCTGTCTTCGTCTAGCGTCGATATGGGGACGCCAGCTGTTGCGCGACAGAGCCGGACTGGCCCACCTCATTCAAACCACTACTCAATCCGACGAAACTTTTGACAGCCAAGTCTCCCAGTCGTGACGTAATTCGACTGCGCAAAAAATAAAAATAAAACAATCCGTTTCCGCAATAATCACTCAGTACCAGTCGTAATTTCCGCGGTATCAATTTCCCTTGTCATGAAGTGACAAACGAGGTTTCCTCTGTCACGACGACAAAAACACGAGACCCTCCCCTACGAAATAAAAAATTCGCAGCATGCATAACATCCCATATTGATTACGCCAAGTCACGCGAACGAATTCTGTGGCTGGTAATTGAATTGAGCAATAAAAGTACAGGCGGCCGAATTAATAATAACAACTGCAATTGCAAAATTTTCCCAGAACGATTTTACAACAGCAAGTGCCGCTTATCGGGTTTAAGACTCCTATTTATTTTATGGTTATTGATATATATTTTTTTTTCGGTGAAGATTAAGTGTTTGATATGATTTCACGCTTGTTTGAAACGCGACTGAGTAAGATTTTATCTGTGGTTACTTGTGCCGATCTAATCTGCGGTTTTTCTGTTCGCTTGTAAGAAACGAAGAAATGGAATGTTGACGGAGATCTATTGCAAGTTTGTTTGCATGACTAATGTGAGTAATGTGGTTGTGAACGGAGGTTTGTTTGCTTTCAAGTCGCGTTATTTTTGTGGTAGTGGGGTGGGAACGAGCGAAGCGAGTATTTATGGTGTGTTTATTTCGGTAATAATCATGCAATTTTTATTGGGATTATTTTTAATTAATGGGGTGTGTCATAGTACTGATAAAAATGCAACGATGATTAGTGTTCGAGATTTTTGCGGCGAGCGAAGCGAGCTGTATTTGTGTTAAATCCATGTCACTGTTGTTTTTCTTAGTTGAGATTTTTCCGCCAGTGAAGTAAAATGTAAGTATTAATAATTTTTATTCTGAGTTGAGATTTTTCTCCTGAACAAGACCAGCTTTTTATATTCTGACCAGATGTATGTACGTTATTTCTTAAAAATAATGTTTATTGAAGTTATTTTTAAATAACCAAATCAAGTAAGTATTATCGATTTTTAATTGTTCAAAATTTTTCGAATTTTCAGTGTTATCAATGTTTCCATTTTTAGATTCATTGGCATCTTGATGTTTCGATTTTTCGATTTTTTTTAATTTAAATTTTTAATTTTTCAAATTTTAATTTTTCGATGTCTCGGTTTTTCGATTTTTCGATTTTCCAATTTTTTCATGTCTCGACTTTCACTTTTTCGTTTTCCCAATTTATCTACCTACATTTCAGTTTACGATTTATGGATTTTTCGATTTTTTGATTCTCCTATTTTTAGATTTTTTTGGAATTTCTGGATTTCGCGTTTTTTCAAATTTTTCGGTATTTGAATTTGGAGAATTTTCAATTTTTTGATATTTTTAATTTTTGATTCAAGTTATTTGATTTTTCAGTTTATTAATTTTTTCAATTCTTCGTTTTTTAAATTTTAAATTTTTGGATTTTTTCATTTTAAAAATTTTTCGAATTTTCAGTGTTATCAATTTTTCCATTTCTAGATTCATTGGCACCTTGATGTTTCGATTTTTCGATTTTTTTTTAATTTAAATTTTTCAATTTTTCAAATTTTAATTTTTCGATTTCTGGGTTTTTCGATTTTTCGATTTTCCAATTTTTTTGATGTCTCGACTTTCACTTTTTCGTTTTCCCAATTTATCTACCTACATTTCAGTTTACGATTTCTGGATTTTTCGATTTTTTGATTCTCCGATTTTTAGATTTTTCGTTTTTCAGATTTTTTTGGAATTTCTGGATTTCGCGTTTTTTCAAATTTTTCGCTATTTGAGTTTGGGGAATTTTCAATTTTTTGATATTTTTCATTTTTGATTCAAGTTATTTGATTTTTCAGTTTTCATTTTTTCAATTCTTCGTTTTTTAAATTTTATATTTTTGAATTTTTCATTTTAAAAATTTTTTGGATTTTCAGTGTTATCAATTTTTTTCCCTTTCTAGATTCAACGCCATCTTCATGTTTCAATTTTTGATTTTTTTTAATTTAAATTTTTCAATTTTCCAAATTTTAATTTTTCGATTTCTCGGTTTTTGATTTTTCAATCTTTAGATTGTTTTTTGATTTCTGGATTTCGCGATTTTTCAAATTTTCCATTTATCGATTGACCAATTTTTCGGTATTTGAGTTTCGAAAATTTTCCATTTTCTGATGTTTTTTATTTTTTTAATTGAGTTTTTGGATTTTTCAGTTTTTCATTTTTTCAATTTTTCATTTTTTAAATTTTATATTTTTGGATTTTTCATTTTAAAAATTTTTCGAATTTTCAGTGGTATTAATTTTTTTCCCTTTCTACATTCATCGGTATCTTCATGTTTCGATTTTTGATATTTTTTTTAATTTAAATTTTTCAATTTTCCAAATTTTAATTTTTCGATTTCTCGGTTTTTCGATGTTTCGATTTTTTTATTTTTCAATTTTTAGATTTTTTTTTTTGATTTCTGGATTTCGCAATTTTTCAAATTTTCCATTTGTCGATTGACCAATTTTTCGGTATTTGAATTTCGGGAATTTTCAATTTTTTGATATTTTTATTTTTTGACTTAAGTTTTTCGATTTTTCAGTTTTCATTTTTTCAATTCTTCGTTTTTTAAATTTTATATTTTTGGATTTTTCATTTTAAACATTTTTTGGATTTTCACTGTTATCAATTTTTTTCCCTTTCTATATTCAACGCCATCTTCATGTTTCGATTTTTTGACTTTTTTAACTTAAATTTTTCAATTTTCCAAATTTTAATTTTTCGATTTCTCGATTTTTCGATGTTTCGATTTTTTGATTCTTCAATCTTTATATTGTTTTTTGATTTCTGGATTTCGCGATTTTTCAAATTTTCCATTTATCGATTGACCAATTTTTCGGTATTTGAGTTTCGGAGATTTTCCATTTTCTGATGTTTTTAATTTTTGACTTGAGTTTTTTGATTTTTCAGTTTTTCATTTTTTCAATTTTTCGTTTTTTAAATTTTATATTTTTGGATTTTTCATTTTAAAAATTTTTCGAATTTTCAGTGTTATTATTTTTTTTTCTTTCTAGATTAATCGGCATCTTCATGTTTCAATTTTTGATTTTTTTTAATTTAAATTTTTCAATTTTCCAAATTTTAATTTTTCGATTTCTCGGTTTTTCGATGTTTCGAATTTTTTATTCTTCAGTTTTTAGATTTTTCTTTGGATTTCTGGATTCCACGATTTTTCAAATTTTCCATTTGTCGATTGACCAATTTTTCCGTATTTGAGTTTCGGGAATTTTCAATTTTCTGATATTTTTAATTTTTGACTTAAGTTTTTCGATTTTTCAGTTTTTCATTTTTTCAATTTTTCGTTTTTTAATTTTATATTTTTGGATTTTTCATTTTAAAAATTTTTCGAATTTTCAGTGTTACCAATTTTTTTCCATTTCTAGATTCATTGGCATCTTGATGTTTCGATTTTTAGATTTTTTTTAATTTAAATTTTTCAATTTTCCAAATTTTTATTTTTCGATTTCTCGGTTTTTCGATGTTTCGATTTTCACTTTTTCGTTTTCCCAATTTATCTACCTACATTTTAGTTTGCGATTCCACGATTTTTCGATCTTTTGGTTCTTCAATTTTTAGATTTTCTTTGGATTTATCGATTGACCAAGTTTTCGGTATTTGAGTTTCGGAAATTTTCAATTTTTTGATATTTTTATTTTTTGACTTAAATCTTGTGATTTTTCGATTTGCCATTTTTTCAATTTTTCGTTTTTTAAATTTTATATTTTTGGATTTTTTCATTTTAAAAATTTTGCGAATGTTCAGTGTTATCAATTTTTTTCCCCTTTTTAGATTCATCGGTGTCTTCATGTTTCGATTTTTCGATTTTTTGATTCTTCAATTTTTAGATTTTTTTGGATTTCTGGATTTCGCAATTTTTCAAATTTTCCATTTATCGATGGACCAATTTTTCGATATTTGAGTTTCGGGAATTTTCAATTATTTGATATTTTTGTTTTTTGACTTAAGTCTTTTGATTTTTGAGTTTTTCATTTTTTCAATATTTCGTTTTTTAAATTTTATATTTTTGGATTTTTCGGATTTTCAGTGTTTATCAAATTTTCCATTTCTCGATTTATCGAGCATTTCGATGTTTCGATTTTTAGATTTTTTTAAAATTTACAATTTCAATGTTTCACATTTTAATTTTTCGGTTTCTCAGTTTTCCAATTTTTCAACTTCTCAACTTCTCGATTTCTCGATGTCTCAATTTTCCAATTGCTGGATGTTTCGATTTTGTAAATTTTAGATTTTTGGATTTCTCAATTGATCGTTTTTTTGGTTTTTCAGTTTTTTGATTTTTTTGAAAGTTACACTTTTCAATTTTACGATGTTTTAATATTAGATTTTTCGATTTTTCCATTTCTCTACTTCTCAGATTTTCAATGTTTAACATTTTTCCATTTTTCCATTGTCCAAGTTTTCCATTTCTCAACTTTTCAAATTTTGGTCATTTTTCCATTTATAGATTTTCAAAATTATTTCGATATTTTAATTTACGATTTTTCGGTTTTCCGATTTCCCAACTTCTCGATTTTTCGATTCTTCGGTCCTTCAATCCTTCAATTTCAAAATCAAAAATACGAAAACTGCAGAAATCGAAAAATTCAAAATTCAAAAAATCGAAAACTTCTAAAATAGAAAAATCGAAAAATAGAAATGTCCAATGTTCGATTTTTCCATTTTTCGCTTTTTAGAGTTACATTTTTCGATTTTCCAATTTTTCTAGTTCAGCACTTTTTTGATTTTTTTAATATTCCAATTTTTCGTTTTCTTTTGGTTTTTCAGTTTTTCGATTTTTTTAAAAGTTACACTTTTTAATTTTACGATGTTTTAATATTAGAATTTTACAAGTTTTCCATTTCTCAACTTTTCAAAGCTATAATTTTGATAATTTTTCCATTTATAGATTTTCAAAATTACTTCGGTATTTTAATTTTCGATTTTTCGGTTCTCCGATTTCCCAACTTCTCAATTTTTCGATTATTAGGTCCTTCAATTTCAAAATCAAAAATACGAAAACTGCAGAAATCGAAAAATTCAAAATTCAAAAAATCGAAAACTTCTAAAATCGAAAAATCGAAAAATCGAAATGTCGAATTTTCGATTTTTCCATTTTTCGCTTTTCAAAGTGACATTTTGCGATTTTCCAATTTTTCTAGTTTATAATTTTTTGATTTTTGGACTTTTCATCCAATTTTTCAAAATTTCAGTTTTTGAAATTTCGATTTTTCCATATTTCCATTTTTCGCATTTTAGATTTTTTTTATTTCGATTTTAATTATTAATTCTTTGATTTTAGAATCTTCGATTTTTTGAACTTTTAATATTTTTTCTATATTTCGATTCAGGAATGTTTCAGTTTTTCGAAATCTCGATTTTCGAATTGTTTGTTTCAGACAAAAACAAAACATAAAATATAAGCCCCGCCCACCCGCCCCAATCTCAATTGTGATGAATTTTTCATTCGCTGTCAGACCGAGGGGCGGAGCGTAATTTCAAAATCCATATTCCCCTACAGAAATTTACCATTTTAAGTTTAGTTTCTTGTCGAAAATTCTATAACTTCAGTAGTCGAAAAATGAAGAAATCGAAAAGTCGAAAAAACGAAAAAATGAAGAATCGAAAATTTGAAAAATTGCAAAATCGAAAAGTCGAAAAGTCGAAAAATCTCGAAATTAAGAAGTGGAAAAATTGAAAAATCAAAAATCTGAAAAATCGAAATGTCGAACGATTTTGAGATTTTCGAATTTTCAGTTTTCCGGTTTTTCGTTTTTTGCGATAGTCGAATTTTCGATTTATTTTTCGATTTCTTGATTTTTCAGTTTTTCACTTCTTTGAGTCTGAAGTGTCCCATTCTTCTCGTTTCTCTATTTCTCAGTTATATTTTTTTAATTGCACGAGTTTTCGAATTTCGATATTCAAATTTTCAATTTTTCTACTTTTCGAATTTTCAATTTTTCGATTCTTCTACTTGTTTACGATTTTTTAAATTTTAGATGTTTGAATTTATGAATTTCTCGTTTTTTCAAATTTTCCATTTATCGATTGATCATTTTTTCGATATTTTCAATATTTTGATATTTTTAATTTTAGGTTTTTCGAGTTCTCATTTTTTGGAATTTTCAGTGTTATCAATTTTTGTAGATTCTAGATTTTTGGATTTCTCAATGTCTCCTTTTTTGGTTTTTCAGTTTTTCGATTTTTTAATTTCTCTACTTCTCGGATTTTCAATGTTTCATATTTTTCAAGATCTCGATTTCTCAACTTTTCAAACTGCAATTTTGGTCATTTTTCCATTTCTAGATTTTCAAAATTCCGAAATTTTAATTTTTGATTTTTCGGTTTGTGGATTTTTCGACTTCTCGACTTTCGATTTCTCCATTTCTAGACCGATCTTTTGATGTTTTGACTTCTCATTGTTTCAATTTTTCAATATTTCGATTGCTCAGTTTTTCGATTCTTCGGTTCTTCAATTTCAAAATCGAAAAACTGTAAAATCAAAAATACGAGAACTGGAGAAACCGAAAAATTTTTAATTTAAAAAATCGAAAACTTCCAAAATCGAAAAATCGAGATTAAAAAAATTTGAATAACGAAAAATCGAATTTTGACCAGCTATGAATTTTGGTAGATTTGTCGTTGATAGAATTTTCGTCCTGTCAAATTACCGTCAGACAAACTCTAGCTGCCTTTGATCGTTTTTTTATTTGTTCTCTCGGTAGAAAGTGCGACAAGCGATTTTATCCACGACCAAACGTAATATTGCCAACATAAAATAAAAGTTCCCAAAACAAAGAAAAAACTATTCAGTGACGTCATCCGCGCCGGTTTATGGGTTTCATGACCCAACACCCAAACAGCGCGTAATCCCGCCGATAACCCACTTTACGACCGCAACTTTCGCCTCTATCTCAAGGCCGCCGCGCCGCCAAAATCGGCCCTGTTCCTCGCCGGGCCTCGCGCAGCCCGTCCTCATCCGCCGAGCCGCCCCTGCCGCATCCCCAGCGCCGCCCCCACCCCGCCGGCCGGTGCACTCCATCACCCCGACCGTTCCTCCCACGTCTCCAGTCCACTCCAAATCGCGTCCCGACGTGTCATCGTTATCCTCCGGCAGGCGAAAAGGGCCGCAGCGGCGAAGCGACGTACGTCTTGGCTTGGCCTTCCGGCGGCAGTGGTGGGGGCAGCAGCGGACGTCTTTCGCCGGATTCGACATTCGCGTTCTTCTCGTGCGGAGATGTCAGTGCGCTGTGGCGGCGGCCGCTTTCCGTGTGACAGGTACTGAGGATGCACGCGCGCTGGGATTTTCCTGAAACAGGTGAGTGACTTTCGAGTTTCGGGGGCGGCGATTACGGACATATGTCGGCGACGCCGCGGATTGTTAATAATTAAGGACGTGGGAACCTGATGGTGCGATAGGCGGCACGCGATTCGGCGGCGGCGAAATGTGTCTTGGATAGGGGTGGAGGCGGCGAGGAGTGGAATGGTCAACAAAAATAATTAGAGGCTTGCGTAATGGACTGTATTTACCTGTGCATAAGTACGACGGGGGAATGATGACCTGGACTAATGGTGGTAGTGGACCAAAATCGACCCGGTTTTTATAAATTTTAGTTGTGTTGGCTGGGGTTCAAATCGGGGCTTAAATGACCTCTGGAATGTTCAATACAGTTTTCAATTAATCGATCAAGACTTTGTCTTTTTCTGGTGGAACGTAATTGAGGCTTCGTTAAAAGTCGAAACAGTGCTGCTTGAGAGCGAAAAGCAATGGGAGTTATTGTTTTAAGTTGTTTTCAGGTTAGTTCTTGGGAACTTTCTCTTTCTGACCTTTGATTAGTCCACGTTTCCGACTTGAGCTAACGTAATCAGAACGTTGTTCCGAGACGGTGATATGTGGTAGCGTTCGGTATTAGGCAATAAAAATGTATACAAGACTTATTAATAGATTAAAACACGTCACATAATATCTGGAACGAACCAACGAAAATTAAAAAAGAGCCTATCCGAGTAGTTGTTGTGGTTATTTGGCCAAAATACAACTGTTGTTGTTTTTTTAAAAATAACACAACATATTTACGTATGAAATTATAATTTGGACTACTATACTGTGTAATAATTGTTGTCGCGGCATTGTGATTAGAAAGTTATACTAAATATTTCCTATAAACAATTTATAGGTCAACAACGATAGCAATATATTATGTATAGTAAGCGCGAACGAAAAAACTTATGTCATTTTGTGGCGTTAATTTTTTGTGCACTGTCACCTTGACGTGTCAGAGAATCTCCCGTGACTCTCATGGCTACCAACCTGCAAATTAATGCCACAATACGTGTTTTTGTGTCTGCTGTACATACAGCACTCGCCAATTAGCCAGGTGAACTTAATTAAACAGCAAAGTCCAGAAACGGTTTGGCGTTTTTAGAGTGTACATATTTGTATTGCAAAAGATCAAGGCGTTTCGCTTTTTTACCATCTTTTCCTGAAGTGTTTTAGCTGTTCAGGTGTGATTTTTGCAGCTTTTTCTCGCCGCTTCCGTTTATCAGATTCTGGCTAAATTATCCCGTTCGTTTTGATTCAATTTTTGGCGCTTAATTTCCTGTTCTTTCATATAAATTGATTGAAATCTGCCACGAAACGAAAATAAAAAAGTCGAAAAAAACGGGATGTGGAAACAATGAAACCGTGAAAAAATCCCTAAGGTAGGAGAAATCAGCAAAGTGTAAAAATTATTCTGCGGTTTTCGAACTTCTCTCGATGATTTTACGTTGTTAGGGTTTGGATATTGAGGATTTTTTGTGTACACTGTTTGGTTGAAAATGAAATGAAGTAGAGCTGGCTGTGAGATCAGTTGTAAAGGTGGTATACATCTGTCACAATACGTCAATCTGTCAAAAATCGAACATCCTAGTAGCAAAAGTGGTTAATTTATTATGTGTTAAAAAATATTTTTTTAATTAAGCTAAAAGTATCACGCTGCCATTTATTATATCGTTTTAAATCTGTCCAAATATGCTTATTTCTCGAGAGTACGAACAATAGGTCATCTGTCCGTCTTTCTGTCATTTGTGTTGATTTTTATTAAATAATCTCCGAAACTACTGGAGCGATTGTTGTCAAATTTTGTATATGTATTTAGAAGATCATGTAGATGATAAAACGCTAACCAAAATTTGATTTGAACAATTTGCTGACGTCATGTCAAAATTTTCTACATTAAAATTATTTATAAATTGTTGCCCTTTGCCTCTTTTACGGATGCGAAAAAATTTCGGAGGCCCTTAGTATCTTCTTCTTTAAAAATGCAAAAGAATCTCGGCAGCTCCAAGTCTCGTTTTTTTTAAGGATGTGAAAGTATATCGAGGGCCCTTAGTGTCTTTTTCTCTAAGAATGCGAAGGAATCTCAGGGGCTCTAATGTCTTTTTCTTTAAGAATGTGAAATACTCTCAGAAGCTCTTAGTGTCTTCTTCTCTAAGCGAAAGAATCTCCGAGTCCCCTAGTGTCTTTTTCTTTAAGAACGCGATAAAATCTTGGGGTTCCCTAATGTTTTTTACTTTAAAAAGTGACGTTTTTTAACGATGTGAAAGGATTTTGGGGACCCCTAGTGTCATTTTTGTGGTTGCGAAAGAATCCGGGGGCTCTTAGTGTCTTTTTCTCATTGCGAAAGAATCTCGGGGTCCCCTAGTGTCTTTTTTTAAGAATGCGAACAAATCTCGGGAGCCCCAAGTGACGTTTTTTTTAGGATGTGATAGAATCTCAGGGGTCCCAAGTGTCGTATTCCTAATATATGTATTTTTTGTTTGCTTTTTTGGAGATTTTATTGGGCTTTAAATGTTTTTTTCGGAATGTAATTCTTTAAATTTTTGTTAATTGAATTTTTTTTGTTCTCATTTTTTTTAACTTTTGTGTCATTTTAAATTTTGTGTTTATTTCAAGCTGTCAATTTCTTGTCAATATAATGGAATGTTTGTTACAGCCCCAAAGTGCATTATTGACATTTTAAAATTTTTTTCAAAATTTTCATATCAAAAATTCGAGTCTTTCTCTTCAGATTTTTCCTTTTTTTTCGTATTTTCGTGTTTTTAAAGCTGTACTTTTGCTCGAAATCGTAAAGATTTTCCTAATGTAGTTTTCGATTTTCCTTTCGAGATGTTTTTACTATTTTTAATGTTTTCTCAACATTTAGACATTCCTTCTTACGATATTCATTTTGTGTTGAAAAGTTGATTTTTCGGTTTCTTATTTGTTAAAATTTTATTTGTATAAGCTTTGCAGATTTTCCTAGTATATTTTTTTTTTCAGTTTTTTTTTAGATTTTCCCCTTGTTTTCATTTTTTTGTTCTCATTTTTTTTAACTTTCGTGTCATTTTAAATTTTGGGTTTATTTCAAGCTGTCCATTTCTTGTCAATATAATGGAATGCTTGTTAAAGCCCTAAAGTGCATTACTGACACTTTGCAATTTTTCTCAAAGTTTTCATATCAAAAATTCGAGTCTAGTAAGATTTTTCCTTTTTTTTTGTATTTTTAAAGATGAGCTTTTGGTCAAAATCGAGATTTTCCCAATTTGGTCTTCGTTTTTTCTTTCAAGATGTTTTTACTATTTTCAATGTTTTCTTAAAATCCGGACGTTCCTTCGTATTGATTTTGTGTTGAAAAGTTGATTTTTCAGTTTCTCAAAATCTACTGTACTTGCTAAGATAAGACTTAACAGGTGTATCATTGGCCAAAATCAATCTTATCTTAGAAAGTACTAGCCCCGCCCGCCCACCCTTTATTTTCTTAGAGGATATATTATTTGCCAAAATCAGTCTTATCTTAGCAAATACAAGCCCCACCCACCATCCCTCTATTTTCTTAAGGGGTATATCATTTGCCAAAGTCAGTCTTATCTTAGCAAGTACTAACCCCACCCACCCACCCTCTTATTTTCTTAGAAGGTATATCATTTGCCAAAATCAGTTTTATCTTAGCAAGTGCTAGTGACGTTTTTTTAAGGAATGTGAAAGAATCTTAGGAGTTCATAGTGTCTTTTTTATGGACACGAAAGAATCGTGGGGTCCCCTAGTGTCTTTTTTCTAAGAAAGTCAGGTTTTTTTAATTATGTGAAAGAATCTTGCGGACCCCCGAGGTTCCTTAGTGTCTTTTTAAAAAATGCGGAGGAATCTCGGGGCCCCCAAGTGTCTTTTTTTTAAGGATGCGAAAGAATCTCGGGGTCCTATACTGTCTTTTTCTTTAAAAATGGGGAAGAATCTCTAAAACCCCAAGTGCCGTTTTTCTTTAAGACCGCGAAAAAATCTCGGAGCTCCAAGTGTCATTCCTTTCAAGGATGCGAAAGAATCTTAGGGTCCCCTAGTGTTTTTTTCTTTAAGAATGCAAAAAAATCTCGAGGTCCCCTAGTGTCTTTTTCTTAAAAAATGCAGAAGAATCTTGGGGCCCTTAAGTGTAGTTTTTTTAAGGATACGAAAGAATCTCGGGGCCCCCTAGTATTTTTTTCTTTAAGAATCCGAAAAAATCTCGGGGCTCCAAGTGTCATTCCTTTCAAGGATGCGAAAGATTCTTGGGGTCCCCTAGTGTTTTTTCTTTACGAATGCGAAAAAATCTCGAGGTCCCCTAGTGTATTTTTCTTAAAAAATGCAGAAGAATGTCGGGGCCCTTAAGTGTAGTTTTTTTTAAGGATACGAAAGAATCTCGGGGTCCCCTAGTATTTTTTTCTTTAAGAATCCGAAAAAATCTCGGGGCTCCAAGTGTCATTTCTTTCAAGGATGCGAAAGAATCTTTGGGTCCCCTAGTGTTTTTTTCTTTAAGAATGCGAAAAAATCTCGAGGTCCCCTAGTGTCTTTTTCTTAAAAAATGCAGAAGAATCTCGGGGCCCTTAAGTGTAGTTTTTTTTTTTAAGGATACGAAAGAATCTCCGGGTTCCTTAGTGTCTCTTTCTTTAAAAATGGGGAAGAATCTCGGGGACCCCAATTGTCGTTTTTCTTTAAGATTGCGAAAAAATCTCGAGGGTCCCAAGTGACGTTTTTTTAAGGATATGAAAGAATCTTAGGAGCCCCTAATGTCCTCTTAATGGACACGAAAGAATCTCGGGGTCCCCTAGTGTCTTTTTTTTTTAAGAACGCGAAAAAATCTCAGGGGCCTCAAATGTCAATTCTTTTTAAGAATGCGAAAGAATCTTGGGGTCCCCTAGTGTTTTTATCTTTAAGAACGCGAAAAAATCTCGAGGTCCCCTAGTGTCTTTTTCTTAAAAAATGCAGAAGAATCTCGGGGCCCTTAAGTGTAGTTTTTTTTTTAAGGATACGAAAGAATCTCGGGGTTC